GTGTTTGTTTGTGTATTTATTTATATATATATATATATATATATATATATAAAATAGTTTTTAAACAGTATGCAGTTGCAGACTATTATTAATAATAGTCAGCTCAAAGTATGTCCCGCATATTTGCAGTAAACAGTGTACCAGCAATGTGTCCTAACTGCCAGCAGGGGAATAGTTTTTAAACAGTATGCAGTTGCAGACTATTATTAATAATAGTCAGCTCAAAGTATGTCCCGCATATTTGCAGTAAACAGTGTACCAGCAATGTGTCCAAACTGCCAGCAGGGGACGTCTGTGACAATCCTGATCTGTGAACGCGCTATTACAAACCACCTGTGTTTACGGAACACTGCATTTGCTTGTTATACAGCACACGAGTGGCAATGTTTCATTTGAAAGTTGCATAAGAATGCCTCAGTTTACACACTTATCTTATGTATTTGTTATGCTTTCAACACTCCAAATAGTTTACAAAGTGACTCCTTGCTCGTCAGTACGTCAGTTTGGTATAATGCCACTCAGTCAGGCGCTAATATTTGCAGGACATTTTAGGACATTTGTCAGTCTAAATTGTTTATGAGGAGCTTTGTATACACAGTGGCGGAAAATCAAAAGGAGTAATGACGTATCAAGGAGTGACAGAAGTGTTTTCTAACTCTTCTGTAATTATTACGCATGCATTATGACGTCATATTAACTGAGGAACTACATGGAATATTTGAACTTTCAAACTCTCTGGTCACACTGCAAGACTAGCCTACTTGAACTACAAAATAGTGGGTAATAAAAATACTGAAAAAGAATGGGTGAAATTTGTGTAAAAATATAATTTTCCACATATATAATTACATTATTTCAAAACGAAATTTTGATGTTGAAAAAAAAGAAGACATTTTGAAGCTCAAATCTGTTAATATGCTTTGGGATTTCAACTGCCTGGGTCACATTAGTAGATGTGTGTTTATATTTAAATATATTCATGAATATTAAATAAGTAAAAATAAGAAATAGCACTGCTGAATAAATTTGAAGGCCAGGATACATTCATTAATCCAGCAGCCTAAAAAAGTTTTTTTTGTTATTACATTTTTAAAAAAAAATAAAACTTCAATTTAACATTTTAAAATTGTTTTTATACAATCAATCTACAGTACCAATCATCATTTAGAGACATGTACAGTGAACGGCAGACACACATGAACACACACAGACTTGTGGATACAGTGCAAAGAAAACACATTACATAGAACTCTGAGAGGATTTCAAAAACTATAAGCAGACATGCACATACACGACTGAATCTGGTATACTTTTAAACTCACAAAGACATTGAAACATACAGGCACGTCCACAGAGACACCACTGTGGACATTTCACTGCTTTAAGCCAGTAAACTAGCGCAAGTACCGAAATATGACTTGTTTGATATTGTAGTAAATGACAAACGCAACAGTGTATAAATCTGACTTTGAACATGCAACACCCTGGCATCCAAAATCCATAGTGTGAGGCAATGTTTGGTCTGATAACATTAAATCAAATGGATAATATGCTTGGATTGATTATCCATCAGGTTGTTTGGTCTTCAAGTCAACAACCCCCCCCCCAAAAAAAAGACATATAAAGTCAACTTGGCACAGAGTGAATCCTGTTATAGGCAAGAATGTTGGCATCCTGTGTTTTGCTCTTTAACCTTTGACCGCTAAAGGGTCACATTTGGTAAAGGTATCCATTAGGACAGTGTAACCATGGAAGCAATGCATGCTTGGTGGCTTAAACCCGACCTGTTAGTGGTTTGGGAGTATTAATACAAGACACATCAGCAGGAAAAAATAAAATGGATTTTTGCGTGGCACAGGTTTTGACGTGCATGACCAATACTATATTTGGCATGAATGTGTATGTGCAGTCAAGCATGGAGGACTTTTCCATGGAAATTGAAAATTCATCACCGGCACCATTGCTGTACCATTAGTTTTAAGAAAGGCCTTGCTAGTTCCAGTGCTGAATAAATGTTTGTCTGTCTCTCCTACTTTAATTTATTCAGATTTAACTGAACAATGCACGCTACCAACATCTGTTCCAATACCTTGTGAGCTGCCTACCAAGACAGCATTTTAAGGCATTAAATGTTTTCCCATAAAAAGCAGAGTGCATTGCAATGAGTTTGGTGAAAAAAGTTCATCCAAGATGGCGGACAAGTTGAGACAAATATTTTGATAATTTATAAATAACCACATGTCATTCAATAATGAAAACTATTAATAGCCTAACTAGTTAAATATATGTATTTAATATGGACTATTTTGCCCAATATTTGTGGGTAAAATGTATTTTTGTGCTTATTAGAGTACTGAGGTGTTAGCTAGCAACATGCTAACCATTCTAAAGCATTCCAAAATAGTTACCTCCAAGTTTCCATCTAATGGCTGGAATACACAAGTTTTTTAACACTAGGCATCACACACTTGCAGACTTTGGTTACAGAGGAAAAACTGGGCACCATTGGGAGTTTGTGGTCGTCATAAACTACACAATTTTATGTGAAATCAGTCACCTCAAATTTGCAGACTGGCTCTGACTTTCGGCAACTAGCATCGATTTGTCCAGACTGTAAATCAGGACAAAAATCAGGACAAAAGTAGTGTATTCAAGCTTTAAATCAGTTACTAAAGATATGGTGCATCAATGCAATGTTAAAGATATATATATATATTTTTTTTTTTTAAATATCTAAATGTATACTAGAAAACTTGTTTGTTATAAAAAGACATCACTTGAGCTTTAATCAAATACTTTAAGTTTTAACTGTATCTTTGACATTTGTTTATATATATATATATATATATACACACACATATATTTTTCTGTATAAATATATTGTTTCAACCACTAATTACCTCATTTTGATGTATTTCTTAATGGGGACACTAGATTTGCACAGAAGACAAATGGTTTTTTTGACTGTTGTCATTGCTGTCATCAGATTACTGATGTTCTTGACATGTGCGACTTGATTTTTTGTCGAAGATACAGGATTTGCAATATTCAGAGAATTTAATTATATGTTCATGTTATATTTTGACTGCATTTGTGAGTTAAAAAAAATTTAAACCAGGCACGTAACATCGTAATATTGATAAATCGATCGCAGACCCCTGAATCTATTAACTAACCAAATCACGGCATGTTTCAAGGTATTGGCAAATATTGTATCTCTGGCTAAGAAAACCAATACCAGATGTACACCCCTATAAGTTAGTATGCTGCATTGTTAAGGCAGATGCCCATGTAGGCAAGTTAACTCACTAGGTTTTGGAACAGAACTAGAGAAACCAGCACAGGCCTGTGTTGCTATGTCACAAAGAAGGCACCTATGTAGCAGCAGAATACAATACAACAGTGCAAAATGACCGTGAATCACAGTGTTATGAGAGTGTTTGTCTATTAATTTGAAATGTGATCATTTGTTATTCTGTGAGGGTGTTTTTTTTTTAAATATCTTTGCCTAAAGGGAAAAATGTACCTTACAATGAGCGATCGAGACAAATACATCTCCACTCTCAGAAAAATGCACAGATATCTAAGGACTCACAGTTTGATAGCAGAGCAGTCACATATATGCACTCGTACACACACATTTAGACGTATGAACACTCACAGAACACAGTAGTGTAACGAGATCTCTGCTCTTCTCTCTCTCCTGACATTCCTGTGTGTTATTTCAGTGATAGGACTTGCACGGTATACAATTTGAGACGGCACATTCTGATCTGATCTGCAGATTTCTGGGAAAGGCAGTATTCAGCCCAGGGTTTCCAAATGGGTCCGCTCATTTGTGATTGGTCAGTCTTTGTTCTGACACTGTGCACTGTGGGTATTCTGTGGCACTTGGTACAACTGTCCCTCTGTGGGTGTGGCTTGATCAGATGTGCTCTTGGGTGTGTCATAGGCTGAGCTTGCTGATTGGCTGCTGTCTGTCCGAGCCACTAAACTACGCCCCCTGAATGGTAGAGTGCCTCCTGATAGGTGGTTAGCCCTGTCAATCATGATTGGCGTGGCGTATTCAGTGCCAGAAGCAGGAAGGGGCTCAGCGTAAGCATGGTAATGTTCCGCGGGAATAGGTGCATCATACTCGGGTCCACCGGCCTCTTCGGGCTTAAACGTTGACCTTTGTCCAAGAGAGGCCATAGTACCGGTGACAAGCGGTTGGGCGTATTCTACATGGATGGGCAGATGGCCAGAAAATAGATTGTTCAAGGGTTTGTTGGAGAACATAAAACTAATTTGACCAGTTTGTTTGAATGCATACCTGCATGCTCCACCCGGGGTCTCTGGTGGTCCACTCGTGCCGTGGAACTGTAACGAACACAATCGTCTCCATCCAACTTAGAGGGCAGCAACTGTTTCATACTCTTCCACCACACTGAAACACATATTCATGCATGTTTAATAATTAATGTAGGTGGAAATGCAAAAGAATAAACAACTGAGAACAGACGCACCTGTGCGCTCCCACTGTGGAAGGTCATAAGTCACCTCGGGGCTTTTTCTGTAGGTTTGAATACAGATGGTGAAGATATTATCTCAAATGGGTTGTCCTTTAAGGCAATTCGCATTAAGTTTAAATTTAATTTTCATGAACAACAAGGTTTTAATATGAGGCTAAAATATTTTAGCGTAATGATTTTTAAAAACTATTCAGATATCAAATAATTTGTTGAGATATTGAAATGTTTTACTGACCTGTTCTTCCACAGCCATGAGCACACCATCACCAACACCAGGGTTGTCAGAACCACCACCAATACAGGAACCAACACTGCCACCAGCGCCACCTCTGTTACATTTACACAGCACATTAATATCATCAATCTTGTGTTAGCTAAGTTATCAAAATGTAGTTAAATATTAAAATGTATACTGTTTTGTCTAAATAAATGAAAAATAAAACACTGAAATCAAGATGCTGCAAATATACTGATAATAAATACTGTATTCAGTATTAAACAGGAATGAAAGACGGATACAACTAATTAAAATTAGGCTATTTCACCCATTTTTTGATTGATTTGTATTTTTAGTAATTATAGCTGTTAACTTAGCAACATGCTAAAATGAGAATCAACTGGAATTAACAGTAAATCCTAAATGTGTGCACTTTATATGAGAAGCATGTGAAAAGCAAGTTTGCTGCCTACATAAAACATCTTAAAATCAGAAATTTTTGAGGTTCCATTTCACAAAGAATGCTCACAAAGAATATGCTTTTGCCTTCCAGTGTGCTGCTTTTTCATTGTTTTTCTATGTAAACAAAGTCGTTTGACCATCGCATTCACTGCTAGCTCATGACAGCATTCTAAAAACCCGGCGGGCAGGTTAAAAGTTGTTTAACTAAAAAAAAAAAAAGAAAAACATCTCTAGGCCTCGAGTTT